GGAGGGAAGCTCATCGAACTTATTTAGCAAGCTTCGGGCATTTAACGAGAAAAACGAGAAAAGCATGAGGGTATAAGAAGACAAGGGTGAGGAGAAGAAAGCAGGAAGAACGTGAATGTTTACAAGAATATTTATGTACACGAGTATATTGTGTGGAGAACAATGTTACTATATATCCTGTGACGCCAGTGGGCTGAAGCGTGAGCCCTGTGCTGGGGTATGGAGTTGGCTATGAGCAGGGTCGATGTTGTTGATCTTTTTGTTTTTTGGAATTTTTGAAATCAGGTGAAGATTCCGCACCGGGACTGGATCTCCTGCGTCGTTCGAAAGTAATCCAGGGGTTTGCTGGCCTATTAGCCATCGCTGTGTTAGTCACCAGTGAGGAGAGGAGGTCTTCAGCACGCGCCGAATCTGGGTGATTGCATGTTTCGGTAGGAGTAGTTGTGTCGGCGTGCGGGGAGTTGAAAGTTGTCGTACCTGTACCTGTGCTGCCTGGCGGGGTTCCGGGGTGCACTGTCGTGCTGGTTGCCGACATCGGCGATGTAAGGTCGAGATCGCTGACTGGGTCGCTTGGGTGCGAGCTGGGGTGCAGGTCTGCTTGCGGCGTGGTGTCCGCGCCGTCAGAAGCCGTCTTGGATACGGCGCTTGCGTGGTTCAAACTTTGGGCCGCTTTCGGCGCGGAGTCGGTACGGTGAGCATGAGAGCTAGATCCCCCGTTCCGCTCTGTGCTGCTGCTTTCTGTGGGGTGCGTGGACATGGTGGAACTGGAAGTGTGTGCACTGCGACGGTTTTGGCAGGTACGCGCGATGTGACCTGTCTGGCTGCATAGCCTGCACGTACCTGCCTGGCCATCGTATAGAATGCGAAGCTCGTGCGAACCTTCCGTCGTACGCAGGTACGACGGGAGCGAGCTGCCTGGTTTGAGTTCGAACGTGGCGAAGCGTACTCCAGTTGCTGTGTGGGTATTGTTTGGAAGTTTGATTTTTCCGTGTCGTATCTCACCGGTTAGCTTTATATACGGTGAGAGAGCTGTTTTGAGCACGCCGTCTGAGATCCAGATCGGGGCATCATGGATGTGCAGCTGTGTTGTTGGTGCGGAAACGAAGTGTGGTGAAACCCGTTCACCCTTGCAATCGAAGCCATTGAGCACCAACAATTTTGCTTTTCATATGACTCAATGGTAAAATTTAATGATATTCAAAATCACATTATTCTCGTCAATTTGAATACATGAAAGCATATAATTATGCACGCCCGGTATGCCGGATTTACCATACATCTGCCGTACGAGACCGCTTTTTCTTGCACCAAGGGGCGGTCGCTTATGACAGATTTGACTGTAGTACAATGATGGCTTGCAGGACATGCAAAGTAGTTGAATGACACCATACAAGCATTACACTCAGGACAAAGCAGCATTACCGTAAAGTCCGCTGCAAACGCACACTTCGCACAAAACGCCCACCACAGTGGGTCCATACTATTCTCGTGTTTTTCAGGTCAATAAAGTTGTACAAAACCGTGACGAAGGTTGAATGCGTACGAGAACGACTGTCATGCCTACTTCCTCCGCGTCATTAAAATTGTCGCTTCCCAGAGCGATTTTTTCCGAATTTATTTTGTCCACTCGAAGGGCAAAGAAATCAGCTAGAAATTAAGGCAGAGCATTGTCGGCGGGCCAAGCTTTAGTTTGTGGTCTCCCTCTTCGCCGCACTTCCAGCTAAGGCCGACGCCTTCATCTTAGTTTGAGTCAGACCCTTTAGCACTCAACAATACGCTAAACAAGACACGCGGTCAAATTCAGGTCAAGAAACTTCGTTTTCAAGCGATCCATGCCTCCAGGCGGCAGGCGATGAAGGCAAGGTAGTATTTTCCAGTACACTGTAACGACCTTCCAGCGGGATAGGGTAAGCAGTTCTGAACTTTCTTTCCTTGGCAAGCGCTTCGCTGATTTTGTTGGTGTTTTCAGACCTGCTACCTTCGCAGCAACATGCGACACAAGTAGCGCATTTTAGGAATTTAAGACCGCTTTGTTCTTGCCATCGTCAACTTAAGCATTTCGTATTCAGGAGCGATACCAGGTTTCTTATACCCGAGCTTGGGGTCTTGATAAATGCCCATGCAAACGATGTGGGACGGCACGAACTCCAGAAAACGAAATACGCTTTGGGCCGGAATAGTGCGGAGTGCGATGAATTTGCTTAGTGCGGAAGAGAGCTCCGACAAAGTCCGAGGCTACCACGGCCTCAGTTTGTTTGTTTGTTTATTTTATTTCACTTCACCAAGTGAACAGGCATTTGTGCCTTCTCACCAGGTCCGGAGACCTAGTTCCGACAAAATGATGAAGAGTGAATGAAAATGTATGCATAAAATGATTAAAATCATGCAGAAGGTTATAATTATGAAAGCGGATTAAAATGATTGAATCACGAGACGTGGGGCATGAATTTATGGAGTATGGATAAACAAATTATGAAAAAATGTGTAAGATGATTAATGATGAAAAATCAAGCTTGGGCCGTGCTTGGGCCGTAGATATAATAATTATGACAGAGAGAACACACGAAGAAAGGGAGAAAATGAGTGAGAGAGAGGGAGAGAGAGAGAGAGAGAGAGAGAGAGAGAGAGAGAGAGAGAGAGAGAGAGAGAGAGAGAGAGAGAGAGAGAGAGAGAGAGAGAGAGAGAGAGAGAGAGAGAGAGAGAGAGAGAGAGAGAGAGAGAGAGAGAGAGAGAGAGAGAGAGAGAGAGAGAGAGAGAGAGAGAGAGAGAGAGAGAGAGAGAGAGAGAGAGAGAGAGAGAAGAGAGAGAGAGAGAGAGAGATAGAGGACGAGTGTGGGAGAGGGGGGGGGTGAGAGAGAGGGGGGGGGAGGGGGAGAGAGAGAGAGAAAGAAATCGATCAGTATGTGAAAGTAGCTGATCGAGTTATTGCTCCGCTGCAATCACCTCTAGATCTAGTACACGTGTGAGAGCCTGGAAAGTTCGCTTTTCACCCTCAGTTCTGACGCTAACGGGAAGAGCATTCCACCGGACACTTGCCGCAAACCGGCTGGAACGTCTCCTGGAGGGACCGCGGAGAAAAGGCATACGTAGCAGATTGGACTGCTGCCCTTAAGTTGCCCGGATGTTGCTGGGGGCGCCAACTGGAGCTATGCGTGCGAACATCTCCTGAAGCAGGGGGCTGGCTCTGTGGTGGAGGCACCGATGAACTAGGACCAGAAGCTTTTGATTTAGCAGTTGCAGTAGGCTGGGGACACCGAGCAGGGATAGAAGAGGGGCTGTGGGCACGAGATTACGCTGTAGGAGGGTTGCTTGTAGACCCCTCTTGGAGAGTTTGCAGACTTGATCAAGAAGGGTCTTGGATATGCTGGATAGGAAGCAGTTGGAACCATTAACACAGTGACAAGTAGACATTGCGCAGGAATGGTCGCACCAGTGTTCGAACACAGAAAACAGCGATTCCGACAGTCTGACTAAGACGAGCCAAGTCTCAAATATTGCAATGTGCGAAGCGACAATTTTAATGACGCGGAGGAAGTACAAACTGCCTATGTCTTACCAGGAGGCTCAGCTACAGCGATTCTCATTAGGCCACACGTTTTTATTTCTATATTTCTCGTCACCCGAAAATCTAAAATCGTACGCGAGAGGTGGAAAAGATAAGTTTACTTGCTTCAAGTACTAGACCTTTGGTCATACTACAATCGACCAATACACCGTGTAAAATAGCATCCAAAGTTAGCAACTAGTAAGTTGTAGACCTCATATCATGTGTCGTGCAGGCCAGGCCAGCGTGCACATCACTGGGCATGTGCTGGTCCCCACAGTGCAGCACAGTTTGTTTTCCAGACCCCTGAATCGTATGCGCCCGGGTGACGAGAAACGTAGACATAAAAACGTGTTCCCTTATCTTTCATCCAAGAAAAAACTTCGGTCGAGCTTTCCTTCCATTCGATAAATGAGTCGTTTTTGTATGAGTCGTTCTCCATGTGGTAATGTCGTAGAACCTATCTGGTTTTCAAATCATGAAATTTTTGCTTCGCCGCGATGAACGCAATGGTACTTCACCTCATAATAAGCGTCACTCCACGACTTGACCGGTTGCAGTTTTGCAGTTGCAAAGAGAACAGGGAGGATGTCACAGAAGCTACAGCTACAAAGTCGTTGCGAACTTGTTTTTTAAAACTCTGAAGTGCTCGAGAAAAACCCTGCCTTTGTTCATTGCGTGATGTTTGGAAATGATGGCTTGGAACACCATCAGAAGAGTATTCGGTTCCTGCAATGCAATGTTCTTCGCTACCTTGTTATTCGGAAGAAAATCCCATTTGGATTTGTGAAATAAAACAACAAACATCATAATCATCACTACGAGCTACCTCGTAGCTAGTGCCCAAAGACATTTTGAAACCAGCAAAGTGGACATAGTCTACCGTGGCAAAGCGCTCTTCTTCGCTACGGTATGTGAGATGCACTTTCGTACGATAGCGGTGACAGTGCATGGGGTCAGTGCATAGAGGCCAGCAGTTCTTGCACAAAATGGGGTGGGCGTTTGCACCAGACTACTGTAAAAGCCATTATTCTAACGAGGCGCATATATAACGATTTCCCAAAATCGACTGTTTTACGTGTACCGAAGGTAACGATTCTCACTTATTCTCAACGCTCAATAGGACAGTGTATGTATCGATTTCTGTATAACGATTTCTATTTTTAGCGACAGATTTCCCCTCGTCAACTCGTTAGAGTTGGCACTTCGTTATATATGGTGGCTTTTACAGTATACAGTATATACATTCATTAGTTTTTTATTTACTAGAGCCACGTAAACCTGTCATGTGTGAGCCATAACATCATCAATGAAAGGGCGTCTACGTCTTCAGCGCTGAAAGGGTGAATATGTGCTGGTCAAAAATCAAAGACTGCTACACAACTGACATTTTGTAGAGGAAGACTGCTAAGCAAAAATAAATCAAATTCATGGCTAATGTCATAAGCAAACTGACCTGTGATGACGGAGGAATTGGGGCATTTCACACTGGTATGGTTGTCTTCGTTGTTTTTGGGTAAAGTGACTGACGTTGCTGAACCAATGTCGACACCGTATTTGCAGCAATAGAGGTCGTCAATGTCAAAAATAGTGAAATCTCCACCATCATCATCGTCAGCCAACCCTGTAGCAATTCGCCTGTCATTCGTACACTCTATAGTGTAGTTTTCTGCACTACTTTTCTGCTTTTCGACAACACATTTGGCTATATGTCACACAATTAACAGCAATAAAGCAGGCAAACAAGCGTGTCAGAGACACCAGTTTTAATATGGCTACAAGGACTAATTTTACTGTAAGCATTTCCTACATGTCGACAGAGAGAGAGGATTGGTTCAGAACTGTTTTCTTGTTACATTCATCAGTGAATCTACGTAACAATGGAATGGGGACTACTTGAAACTTATCTTATATGAAAGGGTTGCAGGTAGATACTGAAATTCCTCCTGACAGCTGTTTCGCCTGCATAAGGCTCATCAGAGAAGGTGGTATTGAATAGGATGATATCAGGTGGAGATGGTCAGATTTATACTACAAAACATGGGCGCAAGATTACGGGCAAAGTGTGAGAATGAGAAGTTACAATTCTCCAGCAACACAGTGCCAGGGGTTATAAGAAAATGGCAGGTGAGAAATCCAATCACAAGCTGCTAACCTCTCCAGCACCACAGTGCCAGGGGTTCCAAGAAAATGGCAGGTGAGAAATCCAATCACAAGCTGCTAACCTCTCCAGCAACACAGTGTCAGGGATTCCAAGAAAATGGCAGGTGAGAAATCCAATCACAAGCTGCTAACCTCTCCAGCAACACAGTGTCAGGGATTCCAAGAAAATGGCAGGTGAGAAATCCAATCACAAGCTGCTAACATTAAATTTCTAACGGCTAGGTGATAGTTTTTAAAGAATTTTGGCGAGCCAGCAAACAAAGTGAAAGAAAGTCATGTAGAGTAGAGTACTAAGCGTGCAGTGCAGCAAAAGTAAGTTACAAAGAGTGCACACACGCATGAATAGACTGTAGTTACATGTACTTCACACTTGGGCAGTTCGCCAGCCAACCGCGCAGGCATGCAGAGACGCACCACGTCGACTGTCCCCGCAGAGTCCCCTCTGGCGTACTCCCAAGCAACAAATCTCCGCTGGCCGTCACATCTTGCTGCGCATCGTATGCGGCCGGACCGACCGCTACCCCGCGCTGACCCTATTTCGACTCCTTTGCTCGCTGCCATTGAATGCCGAGACAACCCGGCCGAGAGTCCTAGGAGGAATTCGCTCGTCTGCCCCCACAGCTCAGTTGTCGACGAAGACCATGGCTGTTGGTGTGTGTAATGGCTACCGAGGGTAGCAGTGAGTCGGCTGTGAGAGCGCATGGAGGAGAGGAGAGGAAGAGTTCTTTACATTTTATTGGCCGAATAGTACCGTTCACCATTTGAAATTGCTACTGTGCGCCAGTGGAGCGGTACTTCAGTGAGTGCGTTGATAATGGAAGGAAGGGAGCGGTGTCGTTATCGTGGAAGCATGGTCTTCGTCGACAACCCAGCTGTGGGGGCAGACGAGCGAATTCATCCTAGGACTCTCATTTCTACTTTCGCCACGCTCGGCCAGGTTGTCTTGACGTTCAACGGCAGCGAGCAACGGAGTCGCAAATGGGGACAGCGCGAGGTAGCGGTCGGTCCGGCCGCATACGATGTGCAGCAAGGTGTGACGGCCAGCGGAGATTTGTTGCTTGGGAGTACGCCAGAGGGGACTCTGCGGGGACAGTCGACGTGGTGCGTCTCTGCATGCCTGCGCGGTTGGCTCGCGAACTGCCCAAGTGTGAAGTACATGTAACTACAGTCTATTCATGCGTGTGTGCACTCTTTGTAACTTACTTTTGCTGCACTGCACGCTTAGTACTCTACTCTACATGACTTTCTTTCACTTTGTTTGCTGGCTCGCCAAAATTCTTTAAAAAACTATCACCTAGCCGTTAGAAATTTAATGTTAGCAGCTTGTGATTGGATTTCTCACCTGCCATTTTCTTGGAATCCCTGACACTGTGTTGCTGAAGAGGTTAGCAGCTTGTGATTGGATTTCTCACCTGCCATTTTCTTGGAACCCCTGGCACTGTGTTGCTGGAGAATTGTAACTTCTCATTCTCACACTTTGCCCGTAATCTTGCGCAATGTTGTGTAGTATAAATCTGACCATCTCCACCTGATATCATCCTATTCAATATCACCTTCTCTGATGAGCCTTATGAAGGCGAAACAGCTGTCAGGAGGAATTTCAGTATCTACCTGCAATCCTTCCTTGTATGGCTGTTGGTGTGTGTAATGGCTACCGAGGGTAGCAGTGAGTCGGCTGTGAGAGCGCATGGAGGAGAGGAAAGGAAGAGTTCTTTAATCTTATATGGACAAATAAAATTAGTCCTCCTTGTAGCTATAATAAATCAGGTATACAATTTTAAATACAATTTTACACACAAAACGCACAACGGAGGTTACAGATTTGTCGCAACTCAGAGTTTCTTGCTCAATGCAATCATCAGGCGACTATAGTCAATAAACCTCCTCTGTGCTTTTGTGTGTGATGGTGCTCCACATTATTGTGTTGATCCCTCTCTGCTGGCAGAAGGAGGTTTTCCTCCTTGTAAATATAATTTTAGATTGCCGTAGCAACACTCAGACATGTCAGATCAATCCAAAACTTTCAGACAGTGAACATTAGATGTGTTTGATCAATTTTGAACAAAAAACTGAAAAACGATCTTTTGGTCTGCGGTCATGTTTTAGCGTGCTCTGGCTCGTATCTCGGCACAAAACCCGGAATGGGTTAATGGTTTTCTTTACTCAATTCTCACTAATGATGGCTTGCTGGAAAGCTGAGGAGAAGAACTTTCTAGTGGTGTGTCATTTTTTGTGGCGCGATGCAAAATACCCAAACGGCGAAGTTAGGAATGCGTTTGGATACACTGCACTTCTGTATTTTGAAATTTTCGAGCGGGGATCACATGTGCACGGGGTTTCCCCATCTCATAGCAGTGCCACCCATGCATAACGGGTACGAAGATGACCTTGTGAACTTCAGCAACACAAAGAAGTTTGGATCATTATTCTGCATTGAGGAAAAGTGCTGAACAGAAGAAAATTGTGGCTGTGGGTGGTGTATCTCGTCCAGGCGCAATAGAGCTGCACTCAAGGGACTAGGAGGCGCTGTTGTTGCTTCTGTTTAGTATCTGGTCTTTACGCTTGGATGAAGGAGGTCACAAGCTGTCCAGGAAGTCCAAGATCATGACTGGGAGGTATGCACCTAAGACGATGGTCGTCACCTTTTTGTGGGGCAAGTTACCCTATACTTGGCAGGTACAACCCGTTATGCAGGTGGAATTGTACACTGGACTGGTCAGTTCAGTTTGCACGAGCAGGCTGTGCCGGTCAGTTCAGTATCCCTGAAATCTGTGTCTAAGGCTCATAGCGCAACTCTGAGTGACCAGGAGCACATTTTGACATACATATTGTATTGTGAGGTCATGTTTGGATAATAAGAATGTCCGGATGAGGCCATGGTAAAACATAAAGTTGATTCTCAGGTCATGAGCCCGTGAAAATCGGTGCGAACGAGCGATTTTTTATATTATTCCCCACAATTTTTTATTCCCAAAGATAGGGGCACCGATAGGGGCACACATATGTACATGTGTACATGGTCACATGTTCATATAAGAATGTCCGGATGAGGCCATGGTAAAACATAAAGTTGATTCTCAGGTCATGAGCCCGTGAAAATCGGTGCGAACGAGCGATTTTTTATATTATTCCCCACAATTTTTTATTCCCAAAGATAGGGGCACCGATAGGGGCACACATATGTACATGTGTACATGGTCACATGTTCATAAATTCAGGCCAGGGAGTAGAAAAATACCGGTATTTTACTACTCCCTGATTTACTTGCACTGCATGCATACGTCGAGTCTCACTCACGGCTGTTTTTTTGTGCGATTTCACGCCACTTAATAATATAGCTGCCGAAAGTCTCGATTGGGCTTCAATGGCAAGAAAATTTGAATTTTCAAATCGTCAGAACACGAATAGGCCATGGTTTCCCCTGGATTTTGGAGACTAGTCAGCACGGGGAACACGCTGATCATCTGCGTCTTGTTTCAAGCTATCCGCTCATACCTCACATGACTGCTTTTCCTTCAAGAAACATTGTTCTATGTCGTGCGACTTTGGCTTCGTTCTGGGATACTCTTTGTGTCGTCGCTGACAAACTCGGCTCCGAGAAGCCCTTCCCGATTTTCCCCCAGCTTAGATCGATATTTTCCCAGGTAGAGGACTATCCCCTGGTGGTCTTCCCCAAGTGTCATTAGAATACGCGCGTGAACTTCTAAATACGCGCGACGAGTCAGGAGCCTGTTTTCTCTTGATTTGGAAGACAAATGGTGTGGCCCTTTAGTTGCTGCTGAGTGTAGAAGGCTGCTTCCTGCTGTAAATTGCTTAGTCGGCATGTGGGATATTGTAGAAGATGACAGCAGCCGGCCAAGTGAGCTTAAAATTGTGATATCTACCCTATTGTGCGTTGAACGATTACGTAATGTCTTACTTGAATGTTGTACACGCGAGCACGCCAAGCAGAGGCTGACAATCACTGGCGAGATCAATCTCCAGACTGCCAGGAGTAGTTCGAGCAAGTTTGAAGCGGAAAGACAGCTAGCTGGGCAGGCCAGGACGCCTTTCCACCCTCTTTCTTTCTCAAATTGCCGAAAAGTCAAGTATCTCGCGCGAGCGCTTTCAAAACTTTTCACTTGGTTTCGCGTCCCAAATCGTGGAACCACGCGAGGATCGACATGAGTTTCTTCCAAAAACGCAAACTCATCGCGTATTTGTACTATTCGCACAACGTTACAATCATAAATCGCACCGAACGACGCCATATTGATAAGTGCCTGCGTGTGAACAGCCGTGCACTATCACTGCCATGTACAATGTATACGCATGTGACATGTCAAAAGCAGTGACATCGTACATACATGTAGACAGGTCCTATGCAGTACAACTAGCGTGCCCAGTATGTAAAACAAGTGAGGAAAATGACAAGTGCATGCAACTGAGTGCTGTCCGCATACACCCAGCAGGTCAAGGACCTCATTTGCTTGTACAACTCCCTGCTACTAGCTTTTGCAAGCGCTAGCCAGCCACATGCAACCGGATACGACGAAGCTTTTT